GAAAGAATATATGAAAAATCTATAAAAAGAATGAAAAGAAAGAAAAGAAAGTAAGCATGTGAAAAAAATTATTATAAAAAAGCTAAAAAGAAAGAAAAGAAAGAAAGAAAAGAGGAAAAAAGGAGGAAAAGAAACTTAAAATATTAAAACAGAGGTTATTCAAAAAGACTAAAAAGAAAGGAAAAAAGAAAGAAAAGAAAAAAGAAAAGAAAAAATAAAGAAAAGTAAAGAACGCAAAACATTAAAACACATTTTTCTAAAAGTCTAAAAAGGGGAAATAAATCTATNGGTCAGCACTGCGCCCACTTCCCAGAGACAAGCTGGTCCCCTTCAATCTGAAACTTGATGAGGTTTCAGCTGCCACTAAGGATCGAAATAAATTGCAACGTGATCAAATTGGTTAATTTTATTGCATAAAAGACAAGGAAAAAAAAGAGGAAATATATTTTAAGACATTTTTTATGTTTGTGTGCCCTTACACTGTATAAAATCTTAATTCAATAATGTCATTGGTCAGAATTTCTAATGACAAAGAAAAATTTATAAGAAAAATAAAAAGATACTATTCAAGCAATCTTTCGGGCAGTTTCATGGCATGGAAATACCTTAGTATTGAGTTGAGCTTCGCGATCAAAATGTGAAGAAAAATAATCATAAAAGTTCTAAAACTAAAATGAATAATTTTCATGTAATAATTAAACATGACTAAAAAGTAAGGAAGTTAATTTTTTGAATTTCAAAAAAAAAACTTTTATCGCATTTATGAATTTACTTTGCCTGAGGTACAGTATTTAAGTAAAAATCGCCTTTTCTCCTATTATTTAGCCCTTTATAAGGCTTTGGTAAGTATACTAACATCAAATTTTAAATAAAAATAGGAAACCAAGATTTGTTCGACCATCTACAGATAAATTCAGGGAATACAAAGAAGGGTTTTCTTTTACATTAATGCGAGTAACAATAAAGGTTAGAGTGAGATCAAGAGGTCAACATTATAGAGAGCTACTTTCTCCTGTACCTTATGCGCCGTTATTTCAACGTCCAAATTTACTGCCACCTCTTTTTAGTAGAAAAAGTTTTAAGTTCCACCACCCAAAGAAAACAGTTTTAAAAATCAAATTAGCTTTTGGGTAATAAACTATATTAATTTTAATTAATAAGTCAATCACAATCCCAAAAATATTTAATCATAACATAAACTCGAAACAAATGGCAGTATAAAGGTTTATTGAATCTCAGGTCTATCACTACCGAAAACTCCTCCATGTCTTTCAAATTGATGGGACCAGGGCCTGATTATCGCCTAGGCCCAATACCAAGGGCCCACACTTTCTGGAGGGGGGGGGCACAATATGACTATTTTTTTTAAAAAAACTGAAAGAAACAGTTTTTTTTCTTAAAAAAATTTACTTTTTTAAAAACATTTTTTATATTGTGATAAACCACACTCGTGTCAACATTATACTAATCAAATTCGAAAGTGCAGCTGAATTTTAATTGGGGCAATTTTTACGTCAACGGCTTAAGTGAATGCACTGAATATGCACTTTAATTATTTAAAAGTGTCATATTTAAATAAACTCTTATTTAAATGTGTTTCATATTTTCTATGACTACTATAAATTTGGCTCTTTTGAATATTTTCTGTGTGCATTTTTTAATAAAAATTATAAGTAATAACCTTAATATTTCAGCATGCATGCAGAACGTATCGTTAAATCTAATGAAAAGTCGGCTAGCTTTGTGTTGGTTTAAGTACTAAATAAAAAAATAATTGCAGCTTACTATAAAAAATAATTCTACTTTTAGCAAAAATCACTGATTTTCAATTGTTTGTGGTCACCAAACTATTTTTATTTTGACATAACATTGTTTCGCTGTTTTATATTTTGCTTCAATATATAGATAGGAGAACTTTTTCTTAGAAAAATGATCCTCAATCGTCTGCTTTCAAAATTTCTTAGAATGTTTCTCTTGAATCATGCAGTTGAATAGATTATTTTTTATTATTAGGACTACTCTTTAGAAACTTAATTTCAAAATATTTCATAAGCGGCCCGAACAATTTGGTAAGCATTGGTCCTGAATTGTTTTGATCGGTCCCTGTATGGGGCATACGCTAATAATTTTTAATCAGCAAAAAATTATTTCATTTTCGCTCAAGTCCACTTCAAAAACATTTTTAAAACATATATTTTAATAATTAAATATAAATCAAACGTGAAAGTAGCTTACCTTTTGCTGAAGAAACTACAACGAAGATTAGCAAAGCAATTATTATGTGTGGAATCATTGTATATAATTGATCGGACAACTTACAATTGAGTTAATATTTTAAAAATAGCAAATAATGATTTTGCCTTAACAAGCATTAAATTCCACAAAGGATTATATCAGGAACCGGAAATTAATTAAAATGTTTTGATAAAAACAAACAAAGAAAAGTTTAACTACTTATACGTCTAATCTCACCAAAATTCTATTTTTTTTCTACAGCAAGTCGAGTGATTGGGAGTTTATAACGCTAGATTGCCGAAGGAAGTCATTTTATCTGCTTTTTCATTTGCAAAAAATGTACAAATAGTAATGCAAATTTTTTTTCAAGCGAAGTAATTTTTTTATTGTTCATATTTACTGTAAATAATGTAAAAAAATATTAAAAAGTAATTTGAAATTTTTTTTTACACATTAGTTGTTTCTTCACAATTCAGTCATTTTGATTGCTTTTGGGCAATATAGGTATATATTAAGTTTCAGTCTTTCTAGTGTTAATAAAGACTAAATCACATGATAAATATTTAAAAAAAAGTATCATTAATATCAAACTGTACTTATTTTTTTTATTGAAAGTTAGAAAATGGGGAGAAATTTTTCATGTACCAATTGCGTGGGTTTCACTTGAAAAGCATTTTAAAATTATTTTTAAACTGCTCCATGTAAAGTTTAAAGCAACATATTAGATAAAGTATACAATTTTTGAATATCATTATATTCTAATAGTTCTGTAATGCAAAATATACTGTACCATAGATAGATGCAGGCAGTTCAGAAAAAGATGATTTTATATTGCCAATTCATAAATTTAAATTCTAGAGAATCTCTTGAAGCAAAAAATTTTGTAACACCTTTTAATAACAATAACAAAAAACTATTATTACACACTATAACTATAAAGTTACTATTAATAAAAATAAAAAAATTATCATTTTACTGCAATTTTTACTATTTAGATTATTATTTTACTCGAATGTAAAGTGATAGAATATACAGATAAACCCCGCTATAGTGAACACGGTTTATAGTGAACTCTCGGATATAGTGAACGAAATGTTCGGTCCCGTGCCTTGCTATACCCGTATAATGTTATTTCTTGTGGATATGTGAACCAAAAAAGTGATGAAGTTGGATATAATGAACTTTTTTCTGTCTTCGACTGATTTTTTTCTTCATTCTTTTGTTATAATATTGAACTTTCTACTTCAAAATAAATACATATACTGATTTTTTAAACCATCATAATTATTTTTTTCTTCTTTGCTTTTTTTTCTTACTTTCCTATCCCTAAACAAATCAAATAGATGTTTCTAACCCAGGCAGACGATGCCCCTGTTAAGTGTCAGTGGAATCAATATGCATCTTCTGTTAGAGGGAATGAGTAATTATTCATTATTGGTCAAAGAGTTGGACACTAATATGTGTTGATAAGGCCCTCATTTCAATTCCTTTTTGCTCTCAGTGCAGTTAAAAAAAAGCCTGCAAACAAGTGTCTCAAATTTAACTATGGCGAGCAGTAAAAGTAAAAAGTTCTCTATTGATGATAAAATGGGCATAATCAGAAAAATTGAAAATGGATGTAATCAAGCTGATATTTGCAGGGAATATAAACTATCCAAATCTACAGTTCGTAACATATGGAAAAATGGGCAATTAACAATTTCTGCCCATGAAAAAAATTTAAATGGCAGAAAAAAATTGAGAAAAGCAGATCACAAGGATATTGAAGAAGCATTACTGAAGTGGTTCATCATTCAAAGAAGACGCAATCTTCCAGTATCTGGACAAATGTCGATGAATTTGCTAAGCGATTTTATGAGATTACTTTTATGTGCTCGAATGGCAGATTAGACAAGTTTAAAAAGTGGACTAACAGAAATTCAGGAAAAATTATCTGAGAGTCGGGAAATGTTTCCCTATCTGATGTTGAGGTTGGTCAACAGCTGAAGATTACAAATTTTTTTTTTTTACGCAGGACGAAGAGTAATAAAAAATAACAAATTTTTGCTACTACATAATATTTTTCAGTCATTTATTTGAATAACGTGTAATAAAAGGGAGGAATTTGGGAACCATTAGTTAAATTGCCTGCCTAACGGATATAGTGAACGAAAATTTCGGTCCCTTGAGGGTTCACTATAGCGGGGTTTGACTGTTTATTCAAAAAGGACACTCGTAGAAAATGTCAGCAACTTAAAAATATAAAAAATAGTTAGAATAATTTTTAATGTGTCTCTTATGAAATAAAGTTAAAACAAGTTTTTTTTTGGAGCCGCCATTTTAGTAAAAAGTTTACCGATGCAGACACCACTTCAGATTGACAGACGTTTGGATTATGCACTATTTCTGAAATAATTTAGCACGGTCCTTAAATATTAGCTCAAATTAATTAAATAATTAACTTAATAAATTACTTTACAATTTTGAAATAAATATTTTTCTTGTGAAATTGTAAGAAATGATATGATCATACTAACTATTGTTTTGAATTACATTTAGAAAAACGTGCAAAATAAAACGGTTCATAATGTATAAGATTTCTCTTTGTCTGAAATCTCAAGACACTGATTGCATCAACAATTCTTTAAGAACTACCCAACTGTTATATATCATGTATGAAATTCCCGTTGCATTCATATTTTGTCTTGTCAACCTTGTGTCATAATTTTATTTTTATTGTCACGAAAATGTTTGTGACACCATTTTTCAATGGAGCAAAAAAAAANAATGATTTGGATGATTCACTAAAGTACCACTAGCATGTTTATTTTAACATTCTGGATCAATAGGCGTCCCTAAATCTGAAAATGGCCGAACATTGCAGAATAATTTATGATGGAAACTGCAGTTCTTCGCTTCCTGTGTAAAAAAATGATGTCTGCGTCACGTGAAAACTACATGCACTGTTAATAATTTTTTATTTTCTAATTAGAGCACTTGTGCATAATTTCATATTTAACTAATTAAAGTTTCCTTTCTGCAAATTTAATTTGAAAAATGAAGTTAACCGTCATAGTAATAAATTAACGAATGAGAGTTGTTTGCTTATTTGTAAGATATAATATAATTATCAAAAGTCTAGTTGTAGAACATTATATGCATATAATTCTAATTACTGCTGCAGATAAAATATTTATATTTCGATTTCTTAAAACAAATAATTAAACAATAGTACAAATTGAACTTGAAAAATGTGTGACTGATGGACACTTGCCCTATTGCATTTCATTTACTCTGAAAAATCACTTGATTTGAATCCCATAAAAATTTAATTGACTCTTTGGAATAGCGAATTAATCTCAGAAATACACGCGAAGAATTGCATCATAAAATCCTGCGTTGGCGGCTTAAATTGGATACGTACGAAACCAAGTGGATTAACTTTCTAACATAATAAAACTGATATCGAGACCACACAAGGAAAAATAATACTCTTCGTGATTTCTGAAGAAGAGAGTGATTCGAGTGAGCTTACTACAAAATATTCCTAAGAAATATATTGCTTTAATGGATTCCTTAAGAAATAGATTAGATAATATTACATAACTAAAGCTGCCATATATACGTTCTCAAGAATAATATAAAAAAGAAGATTGTTCTTTTTGGTGTAATTCAAAGGTTAATCGAGAAAAATAACCATAAATAACAGGACAAATAACAATAATCTTTATCAAAAAATGATTTTTAATGAAACATTGATGAATTAAAATTTTAAAACAAAGCCAATTACTATGCGAATATGAATTTTTTTAGTGAATTCCAGGAGACTTTAGTAAGGGCTTTATGAAACATAAATTTTTGTTTTGAAAATAATGTACTAACTATAAGTGTATATAAATTCAAACATATCTATCATTTCCTATTTGTTCATTTAATTATTTATTTAAATTCAAATACATAAGAAGTTCATTTCATTAAACATCAATAGCAATAAATATTTAAATTAAAAAGAATAAAACATTTTGAGAATCTTGAATTTGAAATATTAAGATTTGGTTGAATTTCGCATGAAAATGCTCAGGAAAAAGTCTTTAAAAACCACACTTGAATCGTCCAGTTCATCAATAATACTGTCGATATCATCAGAATCCTTTTTCACATGATCTAAAGGAAACAAAAATCTAATTATACAAAAAAAAATCATCAATTTTTAAGCCAACGATTAAAAATCAGAAGACAGTCTTCGATATGAAATGCATTAAATGCAACTAAGAACATATTCAATGGAAATTTTGAAAATTTGAATTTTGAAGTTTTGACTGCCATTTTATTCAAAGACTCAAAAAAAGAAAAATTTACTCCAATATTTGATGCAGGAGTTCCGTTGTCTTCTGGATTGGGTTTAAAAATACATGCCTACGGAGTTGAACATTGGTAGTTTAAAAGCCATAAAAAAATAACTAAGCTGCTAACTTTAAGATTCTGTAAATTTTGGTAATAACAATTAATTTAATTTTAAACAAGCTCAGCAGTTTTTTCGGGGAATAAACAGGCATGAATATTTCCGAAAACTAATTTTTATTTCACAATTAATGTAATTTTGTCAATAGTCGGCATTTCACAGCATTCGTTTTTTGAATATCGTGTTGACGATATCGGTCGACATTCCTCAACGTTTTTACAAAATCGAACAATATACGTTATGAAAGGGGTCTATTTTTATATAGTACAATATATCGCAACGATATTGTACAATGTTCGAAGATAAGTTTTTACGATATAGTTTTTGAGATATGTGCTACTTGGGTCCTAAACCCAAAATTGGGCCGACTGTTCACCGACGATTATGAAATAGAATATGTTGAGGTGCGCCATGTTGCATCCAAACGATGTCAATCAGCGCATAGTAGCAGCAATTCTGGTATGACGTAAATTTACATCATGGCTACATAGAGTCAGCCTGTCACAGAGCATATGTTACAAACCCCGATGCTGGCTCTTCCTTAAAAAATTTCAGGATGCCAACTGACGCCTAACCATGTGCGTCCCATATTTTAAAGGTTTTCTTCGTTTGAAAATCTCGTAAACGTTATTCTATTATTTTCGTTGTTGACTTTATCATGCACATCGACTCTATCTTCGCGAGGAAAAATTAATCTCTGAAATTTAAAAGATGACCTAATTTGTACAATGTAAGATGTAAATCATACAATGATCCCGTGCTTAAAACAATATGTGGTTACAGATTAAAAGGTCATTTTTTCCCCTCTTAAGCACTGGTTGACACATATAAAGTTATAGGAACGAGCCACAAAATCAAAATAGATATTTGTTTACGTCATTAAAGCATGCGCAATGTGAGATAATGTCTGAGTTGGCACGACTGCTCACGCTGAGCTTGAAAAACAGTATTTTGTTGGGGTCAGGGTACTTCAACTTTCAGCTGATGCGCACAGAAGGCCNAAGAAACAAGTCCTTTATATTCATTCTTCTTTATTATTTTTGGGATTCGCGGTTTTATTGAAAATATGTAATACTTTATTTACCACAATTTTCTTCATCACTTCCATCTGAACAGTCCCTCTGATGATTGCAAACAGATTGTTTAGGAATGCATTTATTTTCATCGCATCTAAAATGAGTTTCCTCGTCGCACTCATAAGTTTCGCAGTTTTCTTCATCATTTCCTTTCTTGCAATCCTTCTTTCCGTCACACCTATATATTTGAGGAACACATTGTTTGTTGCCGCAATAAAACCCTTCGCATTCAGATTGTTCTGATGAAAAAAAAAAAAAAAATACAAANAAAAAAACAAACAAACACAGAGTCAAAAATCATTCTACTTAGAGTTCACTACATAATAAACTTAATGTTTCGCCAACTGCATTCTTAAATTCTTAAACGTTACTGTTTTCAACATTTTAAAGAATTTATTTTTCGTCTTTTTAAAGATTTTTTGTTTCGTTTTATGGAGATGGTGTATAGCTGAGCTATATTATAAGTATACAATT